CATAAAAGAGAAATTTAGAACATTGGTCTTAGATTTTAAAAGAAAAAGTTCTCTCTTTCAAAAATAACTGTGGAATGTAGTTATAAATTCATGTTTAATTCAAAGGGGAGACATATTTCTATATATTTTAAAGTTAAAGATACAATTGCATGTAATTAATTTTAAGAACTAATATAAGACCCAAGAAAGGCACTATGTCATGAGGGATGTAAGAAACCTCCCATAGTCAGTGATAGCCGAACAAATTACAAGATTTGCAAATATTGTGCAATATCATGCAGATAGTACGTGGAATTTTCAAGTGATGGGCCTAAAGAGTCAGGAAGACCTGAATTCAATCCTGCCTCTGATTCATAATATATGTGTGACCCTGGGCAAGTCAATCAAATAAAGATCCCCAAAGATATTTCAAGCTCCACAAAAAAGTATTTTAAAATGTGTTTTTTTCTTATGAGATGGGTTATAGTTCTTGTATGTGATTGTGTACAGATATATGTACACACCTGTATACACATATGTAAATACATATTTGGAGTTAAGGCCCTGGGCAAGTCATTTAACTTCTAAGAGATTCAGACAAACTCTCTAAGACTTAGCTACTAAATTACAGATGAAATATTCTGTGTTGGTAGACAAGGCTCCCATACCAAGAATTTTCTTCGAATAAATGACAGATCTTTCTCATATTCCTGTATGTGGGGTTTTAATATACATGACCCTGGGGCCAGTAGGGATTGTTAGCTGTCATCTAGTCCAGTGGTATTAAATTCAAACAGACATGAGGACCACTAAGCCAAGTGTAAAAATCCCTGCAGGCTGAATCACATGTTAATATTACCTATGTTCTATTCTATTTTTATTTGTTTTGTTAAATGTTTCCCAATTAAATTTTATTCTGGTTCAGGTTCTACTGGGGAGTGTTGCTGGCTATGTATTTGATACCTGTAAACAATCTACGAGGTAGCTAGGTGGTAAAGTGGATAGAAATGTCAGAACTGGAATCAGGAAGATTCATCTTCATGAGTACAATTCTGGTCTCAGCCACTTACTAGTTGTGTGACCCTGGGCAAATCACTTAACTCTGTTTCCCTCAGTTTCCTTGCCTGTAAATGAGGTGAAGAAGGAAATTACAAACCACTTCAGTACCTTTGCCAACAAAACCCCAAATGGGGTCACAAAGAGTCAGATATGACTGAAACAACTGAACAACAAATCTAATCTATCCCTCTGCCTCCAAATAAGCCCACACTCAGATCCTCCTAGCCTATCTCCAGAGGAGATTCCAAAACCATGACTACTTCTAGTAAAAGGAATCATTTTTGGAAAATGTATCCTTGTCTCTAATCTGACCTCCTTAAACTACAGCTGAGGTCCATTTCCTGTTATTCTGAGATGAACTTATGGTTTGCTGTTTATTTAACAAATGCCAATGTCTACAGGGTGATCTTCATGTACTTGAAGGCTTATGTTGGGCTGTCCCTCCTTCTGCAAGCTTTCCCTTCAGTATATTATTCCCTTTGGCCTTTCTATGTAGCGATTATGCTTTAGTCTCTTTAAGGACCTTCACAACTCTTTTCATTCAGGAAATTCCTCAGAATTTCCCTACAAAAATTAAAGAAGAACACTGGATTGGGGAAAGAAAGAGAACAAACATCTATTGAGTCTATTGTATGCCAAGCACTGTGCTAGGCACTTAACAAATATTTTCTCATTTGATCCCCACAACAGCCCTAGGAAGTAGATGCTATTATTACCTTCATGTTCTTTTACAGTTGAGAAAACTGAGTCAAACAGAGATAAAGTGACTTGCCTGGAGTCACACAACTAGTAAGTGTCTGAGACCAGATTTGAACTTAGGTCTTCCTGACATTAGGCCTGGAATTCTAACCACTGTGCACCCTAGTTGTCCTTGAATGAAAGGACCTGGGTCCTAATTCCAGTTCTGCTAGCTGTGTGATCTTGGGTTAAAGGACAATATAAAATGCCAACTATCATCATCATCATTATTTTTATTAATTCAAAAACCTCTTAACTTCTATGGGCTTCAGTTCCCTCATCTGTAAAATGGAGGAGAAGGGTTGGATAAGGCAATCTCTAATGTCCTTTCCAGGTCCAAATCTATGATGCTATTATCCAATTTCAGTAGCACAATGATCCATCCAGCTATGGGTTTTTCCAAAGAGGACAAGCAATTCATTTCTATTTTGTGCCAAACATCACAGCTGAGCTTCCTGGTAAAATGATTTATTTGTTCAGTAAAGCATTTCCCTAAATGCATTTTTTCCTATCTCTGTAGGCCTTGTTATTAAAATGCTGTTTTAGTTTTCAAACAAACACCTCAGTGTAGGGCCAACCTCAGGGAAAACTGCACTCTGTGAAGACTTTCTATTTGACATCCCTGGAGTTTTACCTCTGCTCCCTGCTCTGAGATTGGAAGCAGCTGGAGCAGAAGGATTTGCTTCTGGAGAAGTTTACCAACAACCTCATCACATCAGCTTAAAAGTGTCAGGATAGGGGCAACTAGGTGGCCCAGTGGATGGAGCACCAGCCATAACACTCACTAACTGTGTGACTCTGGGCAAGTCACTTAACCCCAATTGCCCTCACCCAAAAACAAACAAATAAACAAATAAATAAATAAATAAATAAATAAATGGATGAATAAATAAATAAATAGATAGATAGATAAATAGATAAATAAATAAATAAATGTGTAAAGATAAGAAATAAAGTTCTGACGGCAGGAGTGCCCCTATAGCAGGGGCACTTACAATAATCTTACAAAACTATCAAAACCATTTCATAGGTTTAAATGCAGAGATTGCAATTCTCCTTCAGTTAGGCCAGAAATTATCATACACACACACACACACACACACACACACACACACACACACACACAAAATCATAACCATTACAAAGAGAGTAAGTGGAATGTTTAAGGTCTGGAGACCCCAGAATCCCATGTGACTCCTTTAAGAAAAAAAAATCATTTACTCAAATATACTCTAAATAGGAATGATGGCAACATGGGAAGCAAAAATTAGATCACAGTAAAATTTCTAGTAGCTCATGAAAACAATACCATCCTATGCTGTAAATGCAAAGGGAAAAATAGTACTAATTGGGTTTTTTTAAGTCGTGGACTTCATTGGCCGTCTGGTGAAGCCTAACAACCCCTTCTCAGATTACTGTTTTTAAATACTTAAGATATACACAGGATTACAATGGAATACAATTATATTGAAATAGAGTTACTGGAATATTAAATAAAACAAGTTCATGGACCAGGTTAAGAACCATGGCTCTATAGGATGGGTTCTGGAGGCACATGCAACTACATCTCTGTTCTTGACCCTCTTCTATTCAAAATTAAACCTTCAGGAAAAGAATAGGTGTTGTATTTATCAACATGGTAGATAACAAAGTCTGAAGGAACTGATAGCATCCTGGATGACAACACTAGGACCCCAAAAGATCATAACAATCTATAATAATTATCTGAACCTGATACAGCAAAACTTAGTAGGGCTAAGTGTAAACTTCTACACTTGGGTTCAAAAAATCAAAAACACAAGAACAAGATATGAGCATCATGACTAAGCAACAGTTCGTGTGTGAAATGGGTTAGGAGTCAGGTATGATGCCTCAGAAAGTTGGATGAGATCTGAGAGTTTAGAGATATGGCCATAAAAGCACAGACCAATCATAAAAGGCAAGCACGGCCACAAAATTTTCTTGCAAAGTGAAAATATCAAAAACTAGAATAAATGAATAGTTAAGGACAGGAGAGTTAAATTTATGTAGCATGTAAGTGTCAGAAAGTGATTTCCATACATGATCTCATGATTCTTACTGAGTAAGAACAAAAATAAATTAAAAAGAGAGGGTACTTTCCTGAACAAAACATCTCCCATCAGGAAGAAAAGTCTCTATCCTTTGACCATTGACTGTCTTTCTGGGTGACTCTGGTTCTTCCTGTTATGACAATACTACATCTTGGAAACAAAGGACCTGAAGGTAAGGAGCCCCAGGAAGAAGAAAATCAAAGAGAAAAAAAAATGATGGAGGAAGGAGGTGGAGCCCCATGAGAGAAAATTTGTACATTTTGTGCATTTCTAGGTAGTGTATTACCACGTAGGGCCAGAAGTCAAAATCCAGCCTTAGAGAGACATCCATCTATCTACTTTTCAAAGTAAACTATTGCACATATGAATTTGAGCACATCCTTTCCCACTTCCTCTAGGACCCTGGTTCACTCAATTATTCCCCCTTCAATTGCAAATGCTGTAGAAAGAGTAGCTCTGATTTCTCTTCCTTCCAACATACATGATTCTCCCACATTTTCAAAATAACCTCCACTTTATTCAGTTGCCCTCATTTAGCTGCCCTTCTGATTTTCTCTTTACTTTCCAAGACTTTTCCAAGAGTAGCTTATGCCCACTACCTCCATTTTCCTCACTACTCATTACTTCTTTGACACTGTGAATCCTGGCTCTTGTCCCCACCTCTCCAATGGAATTGCTTTCTCAGATATCACCAATGCCAACCAAATCCAATTCTTGGTCTTTTTCTCTCTTAATCTTTCCTAAACTTTAAAAACTTCCATTTTTCTTGGCAATCTCCCTTCCTTTGGCCTCTAAAACAGCATACTAGCCTAGCCCCAAGTACAGACTAAGTATTCAAAAAATATTTATTGAATTGAAAATCTAAAATAATCTTGAATAATACACACTATTTGCTCATCATAGCCATCCCTAATGATGCACAGTAGAGTTGTCTGATGTTTCCAGATTTGGCTTAGGAAGACAGTACCAACCATAGACATCTCTAATATCAAATCCTGCCAGATCCACAGATCCTCCATCCCCACAAAAATATCAGTCCATAAAATGCAAAGCTTAATTATCCAGGAAACTGACAGGAAAGGCCCCTTTCCTTCAGTAGAGTTGTTTTATAGTTGACAAACAGAAGATTCTGTTGACTCCTTCAGAGCTCACCTGAATCAGTGTATCTAATTCCTGCGGGCCCACACATTTGTGATCCTGAAGAAATTCTGCCTTCTCCAAGGCAATTGTATTCTTCTGGCTGCTCTCGAAGGGTTGTTCAAGTGCCCGGAAGACAAGACCTCCTGTAACCAGATAGACCACCACAACCACAAAGATCGCCACGACTGTTTTCCACTTCATGACGGTCTGTAAGCCCTGGGAGGTATTTTCCATGCTGGCAACCACTGTGGCTCGAGAGGAAATCGAGAGGCGTGGGGCTGTGTAGTGCCCGTTAGTGACACTCTTGGGCTGACAAGTCGGTGCTGCCGCAGGAACAGCCACTGAAAAAAAGAAAGGAAAGAAAAAGAAAATTTGTTTATAAATACAAAAATCAAGATGTACCTAAAACAAAGCACAGATGTCTTTCTTGGGATAGCTTTCAAACTTTGGGATTAAAAACTGGCTTGCCAGTTATGCAGTTAAAGCCTCAGATCGGTTGCTAGTAGCTTGTCTGAGTAGTAGAATGGAAAGTCAGGGAATCTAGGAAAAAAATACACAGTCATATATAAAATATTCTTTATTTTTATGCATCCTCCTATATCAAAACTTTATAAAGCTATTTCCCTGATTTTCCACATTTTCTTGTCTTTGGATTTTATTTAATGGTAAGCATAAGACACCCACAAAAATATCTCCACGTTTGAAAAACCTGTGCCTTTGAGCTCAATTTGAACAAGGAACACCTGTGGAAAATAAATATAATAAAAAACATCACCTGTATAGCTGGTCTGTGCCATAGCAAGTATCAAGAGCTGAATGACAGTGAGTAAGACGTGAGAAAAGTTACAATTCAAGACAACCTGAATATTCAGTCTTTATCGAGAAATACAGGTGCGTTGTCAAGGAAGACAAAGGAAAAACATAAAGACAGAAATCCAAATACAAAAAAGAAACTTTGCCCTTCTGACAACAGTTACAAGGAAGGAAGAAGAGGGCTGACCATGGTGAGTGATCTTCATGCCAATTAACTTTTTCTGAATTCTTCCTAGGGGTCCATGACTGAATACATGCCTGGAACCATGTCTTGCAAAAAGTAGGTAGGCCTTTAGTAAAAAATTGTTAAACTGAGCAGAAGTGTAAAAATGTGAAAATGTAGAAGCAAACTCCTTTTCATCTATTAGTAATAGTTGTTCTTGTTTTTGTTTTGTTTTTTCCAATGTACCATCCCTTGGATTTTTCCCTGGATTTAATGGATCTCATGATATCCTCTAAAGTAAATTATTCCTTGTAGGGACAATTTCATTATCTTGAAAATAAACCAATTCTCCCTAATCCTTGACTGTAATGGCAGGAAGCTCATGATAACCTTTTATATATAATTTTATAATGCATTATAGAAATTTATGTTCATATAGGAACCAATGCCCTGCCCCCTCCATCCAGATCTCAGCCTTTCTTCATTTTTCTCATTCTTTGCAAAATGACTGTCATAGCCCTTTCAGGTTGCTGTGTAAATAAGGTATTAGGAGACGGCAAATATGATTACCCAAGAGGAACAAATAATTTAACTCCAATGAGAGCAGAGTTGAAAATAGCTCGTGTTCTAGAAACTTGACTGGGGCAGATGCTAGGATATCTGGCATACTGCAAAGGCTAGTAAAAGGCTGCAAAACCATTCTTGGTGTTTTTTTTTAAACTTCATCAATATAGTAACATGTAACTGTATGTTTTAGAGTCTAGAAGACGGTCTAGGCAACACTGTGCATAGAACACCAAACTTGGAGTCAAAAAGGGAAAGAAAAGATTCAATATTTATATAACACCTACTCTGTGCCAGGCACTTTTACAAATATTACAAATACAACTTTGGGAGGTAGGTGCCATTATTATCCCCATTTTACAAATAGGGAAATTGAGCTTTGTTGTTGCTGTTGTTGCTGTTCAGTCATTTCATATGTATCTGATTCTTCATGACCCCATTTGGTATTTTCTTGGAGTGGTTTGCCCCTTCCTTCTCCAGCTCATTTTACAGATGAGGAAACTAAGGCAAACAGGGCTAAGTGACCTGCCCAGAGTCACACAGCTGGTGTGTGTCTGAGACCAGATTTGAACTCATGAAGATGTCTTCCTGACTTCAGTTCTGGCACTATGTCCACCGAACAGCCTACCTGCCCAGAAATTGAGCTAGAGAGCAGTTAGGTGACTTGCCCGGGGTCACACAGCTAGTAAATATTAACGTTAGGCAGGATCTTAATTCAGGTCTTCCTGACTCCAGATCAGGTACTCTATCCACTGTGCCACCTAGCTGGACTGGTTACCATCTACAGTATCTCTTAGCTCTAAACCTATGATGTCATTATCTTGGGCAAAAGTCCTGACTGCACCATTTACTAGCCTCACGACCTTGGGTACTTGCTTAGCCTCTCTAAGCCACAGTTTCTCCATCTGTAAAAATGGGGGCAATAATAATTTCACTGGTTTATTTTAATAATTAAATAAGCCAAAATAGTCAAGTCCCTTTGTTAATCTTAATGGGATATATAAATGTCAGCTATTAAGATACAGGATATTTCAAAGGTATTTTAATCAAACATTGCCACTCAGAATTTTTCATTGTTCTGTCATTCTCACAATGACTTGCTATGTGACTGAGGGCATTTTATTTGATGTCTCTGTACCTTAGGACTTTAGATCAAAGATCCAGAGTCAGAAGGTACCTCAGAGGTCAACTGACACAGCAAAATGCTCACTTCTCTCTACAAATGAGGACATTTTCCCAAGCTGGTGAACAGCACTTCACAGAGGTGTGAGATCTTTTCCAGCCTTGAAGAAAGCCAACTACTGCAATTTCCTTAGCAATGACTTTTTTTTTTTCAGCAAAATGCCTTAATAATTGATGAATCATAGAAGTGATTATGGCCTATCATGCTTCATGGCCTCAAAAAAGCAAAGTGCTTGCTAGAAGCAAAAGTGATGGTGAGAAATAAGCAGAATGAAAACAATAGGAAATAGCCTACTGGGTAATTCACTTAAGTACTCTGTCTTTACTAGGTAGTTACCAGATTTCACTTTTTCACTCTTCCCAGCTTTGGAGTTTGGGGGGGGGAGTGCTATTCCTGCTGATAGAGTCATAATGATTTTAATAGATTTGCCTCATCCTAAAACACCATTCACTTTTTAATAGTCATCCTATTCTCCTACAGACTCATCACTTTAATATGTAAAATATATAAATGGGCCTCTTTTTCCTGATTCTTGGCTGGAATGCCACCATCTAGAAAAGGGCCACAGTTACCCAGTCAGGAAACAGGGCATACAGGCAGAGTACAAGTAAGCCTGCTCTGGAACATTGGGAGGATGAATTCACTTGCCTAGCCTGGAATGTGGCCCAGAGCAATTGAGGGTTAATGTCTCCTACGACCAAGACTTCCAACTATACCTCAGTGAGAAGATGTTTAAAAAAAAAAGACTGCATTTTATATAGACAAATTTAAGCATGATTGACTTGGGGGAGGGAGGAAGAGAAGAGACAATGGCAAGTGAATCCCTAATTTACTCATTGAACAGATATTTGTCAAAGGTGAACAAATGTTGTACCAGGGTTAGGTGAAAGATTTGCCCAAAGTCACATAGCTAGATTTCCCCAGAGGTACCTCCTCCTAATGTGGGAAGGGAGAGGAAGATGCAAAGCAATCATCTGATTGTCCACCATGTCTGATTCGTAAGTTGCCATGGCCAGAAAATCCTTCACCTGGTGGCCAAACTTTTGGTATTAAGCCTCTTCATACTTCACTAGGCTGGTGATAGCAGCACGCAGAGTTTAGCTGGGGCTGTACTTGAAGCCTGTCCAAGATTATTCGGCTCTGCCAGAACTTATGTTCTAGTAGCACAGACTGCCAAACCCCGGGGTCACCTCCACACCAAAAAGAGCCATAGCAGAAAGAGATAGTTTCAACAGAATAAAGTCCTGAGGTATTTTATTAGTCAGTGGAGGCTTGAATTTCTTCCATCACACATTTCTTTAATTTCTATCCTAATTAGAAAGGGGGAGGGAAGCCTGGAGGAAAGAAAGAGAGAGAAAGAGAAGGAGAAAAGGGAGATGAAGGGAAGAAAGGGAAGGGGAGAGGGGACTGGCTTTGGAGTCAGAAAGCCTGGTTGACCTCAGACACTCTCTACTTGGGTGCCCTTGAGCAAATTCCTTAACCTCCCTAGAATCTAGTTTTCTCAATTATAAAATAAAGGGGTTGGACTGGTTAGCCTTTGAGGTTTCTTCCAACTCTAAATCCTGATCCTATTATCCCATAGAATTCTCATTCCAAAGGTTGATCTTTTAAATCTACCACTTTGCTTTAATATTAAGGGTGGGCTTTATTTTGTTGGTTTTGGTAGTTAAGTTTATTGGGAGGAGAGGGGCTGGGAGTAAGGACCCCCCAGTAGGAGTTCTCATTTAGAGGGACAAGTGGAATGATAATATGGCAGATGCTCAACCCAAGGCTATACCTCTCATAGGTAAGGAGTACAGCTGTAATTTCATCCCTCTTTTCTAAGGTCTAATTCCTCTTCTTTTTCTCCATTTCTCCTCTGTGTTCTCATTCACCATTCTTTCCACTGATAGAGCCCCACTGGAAACTATAAAAAGGATAGCTGAGAGGGACTAATGTTACAACAAGGTTTAGGAGAAATGACTTGCCCAAGGTACCATGTCTAGACTCATCCAAGGGGCATACCCCCAAGAAATGAAAAGGATGGTCGAAGACAAAGGAGATAGTAATCTGTACACCTTTCCAAGAGGGAGGGACTGAAGGGTAAATCACTCCCTTCTCTGGAAACACTGCCTGGTACCATAACATCATGGGGATTCTCCCAGCTTTTTTAGCAGAGGTCATTTTGAAGAGGAGATCTTGGCTGGTTTAGAAAATATCATTTTTGATTAGCAGTGACAACAGGAAAGTTACTAATAACTTGAACCCCAACAGAACTAAGCAGCCTACATTTTAGACATACCTGCTTAAATATACTACAACAATCTGAGCTTGTTTTTGCCTCTGCCTCTCATTTCAATCAGCATAGACCAGTCAGAATCAAAGAATGGGAGACATTTGTGGTGAGATTTATATACTTAAAAAGAGTGGGTTGGTCTAAACTAAATGATCTGTAAGGACCCTTTTCTCAGCTTTAAGTTTCTAAGAGACCCACAAACACTCTCATTTATAGCTCTCAAATTCAACTAAACAAACATTAACCAAGTGCCTAATTGTGTGCAGAACATTTTGCTAGGCATCCAGGTGAGGTATACAGTTTAGATAACAAAGTCTCCACCTTCATAAAGCCTAATAAATAA